TTTAAATTGGCACAGATGTTGTTATTGTTATCTCCCCTTCAAATGTAGATGTCTCTTACTGAGTCAGTAGGTGCAGAAGAAGGGTACAGAGCTTTTGCATGAAGGATTAACCACATTTTATGGAATTAAAACTGTAAAAATATATTTAAATTTTAAAATTAAAAAATGAAATTTAAATTTTGTTTAAAGCAGTTAATAAATTGATAAATTTTATTTTTGCACCATGTTTTTATCAATTTACTAGATCTATAGCTTTTTTTAAATAAGATTTATATGGAAAATGATAATTTTTAGAGAAATGTATCTTGAATTATGGATAAACCATGCATTGCAAGAAACTGGGGAGTGCATGTTTTCAGGCTGGTTACATTGGCAAAAAAAGTGATTGGCAAGCTCATTCCAGAGGTCTTAGGGGCCCAAGAAGCACCGGCCATGGGATTCGAACCAGCACCATAGTAGCCTATTGCTCATATGGACCACGCATTATATGCACTGATGTTTCAGCAAAGTATTGATGCTGTAGTAATCAGATTGTAAATATTCACTATTGTCTTGTATTTCAATGAAGCAGAACTGACAATTGAACAGGACAAATGTGATTTACATGTTGAAAATATAGGCATTTTCAGTGTAGTGAAACTTGATGTTTTGCTGTGCTGCCGAATGTATTTGCTAATATATACACACAAAAGATTTTCTAGTCATTAAACAGTGAGCCTATGGATAATTGTCTCATTTAGAATAACACAGTTGATGTGATTGTTGTTGTTGTTGTAGCAGCTGCTACAGCACTTAAATTATGTTAGGTTTATAATGTCTAAACTGTTATTTCCATGCAGGCATGCATTTTTAAGCACACAATATTTAAGCCTTCCTGTGTGAATTAGCAAATCAAGCCATTGATTAATTAAGACATTATTTTCTTTCTTTTTTGGATATCAGAATAACAGCATAAATGCCTCTTATAATTTCCTTCGACATGTACTAGTGTTGCATATTTTTTCAGACCATGCAGTTATCAAAGCCAGGGTTTGAGTACAGAACCTTACCTTATACTGGTTAAGATCTATGGAAGAACTCTTTCAGCTCAGTTTGGCAGCAGATTTGTCAGGACAAGTTGAGAAGGTAATAACTTATGTCTAGTTTGAAACTTCAGCTATTGACGGCAACGACTCCCAATGCTCGGGCAATATTTGGTAGATATTTTGATGTATATCAGGAGAAAATTTCTCTAATTTTGACTATTTTAACATTTCTCAATGATTTAAAGTGGGAGACAGTATGTGCCATCATTTTTTAGCCTAATTTGTGTGAGAGTTGGCGAATCTTATTTTGTCAGAAGACATAGCCCATGGCAATATAGTAACCTCTTTGCTAAACTTAAGATTACCTCTGTTTGTCTTTATTGATATCTTAAGCAAACAATATAGGGTATATATCTTGGTACTTTACTTTATTTACCATGGTATATAGGTAAAAATCATAATCAGTAAGTTTTATTGCAATGTTGAAGGAAAAGGTTTTGAAAAAAGCACATTTAATTGTGATTACTTGTATTTTAACCCAAAATTTCATGCTCTCATTAAAATAAATGGAGTTTATATTACAATTTTAAAGCAATAAGGGCTTATTCTTTCATAAAAATAACTAAATGACATTAGCCGGTAACATCAAACTTTATTTGAAGAAAATCCATTGGCAAAATCAAGAGCTATGACAGAATTTGTGATATAGATTTTTGCGTAAAATTCTATTGGCCGAGGCTGATTTTTCGCATGAATTTTTATATTTAAGAAATTGTACTGCATTAATGTAATTTGTTAGAGACATGTCAAACCTATATGAATGTACTTGTATAACACTAAATTACTAGGAAATAAGTATAAATTTTGGCTTAACTTAAATTTTGGATTCATTTAGGTCTCAACCCGGTACGGAATTAGACCCAACCCGTTGTAGTCTAGAAAGTAGTTCTTTAAAATTTTGAAGTGGCACAATTTAAGTCATCTCTAGTTAGATTGGTCATATTTAAAGTGTATTTATTGCATGTGTGTAGTTTTTGTGTGTTATATGATGTGTTTAAAAGTTGTTTTTTGTGTATTCTCCAGGAACTCATTTGTTGGCAGAAGGATTAAAAATGTACCACCCACCAGCAATCAGGAGTTTTCAAAGTGGTGAATTTAAACTGTGTTACAACAGAGTGAAGATTTCTGAAAAAAGTAGGTGGCTAACCTATAATATTTTGGGCCTCATTTGACTTAAATAGTGTTGATGTTTAAAGTTGACGACAGTATATATTTCATCAAGAACAGTGGAATCCAGAATTAAGCCTCAAATGTGACTGATTTACTATAGAACAAAGAACACGAAAATTCACCAGGCCGTCACCATTTATGATATTCGGTAAAGAAATCTTAATGATTATTTGTCATAAACAACAATTATTATTCAATATTTCTCTGACGAAGTCTTGATTTCCTGTAAAATTAACATGGAAGGACTCAATATAAGAACAATTATCATTGGTCATTTTTAAATTACAAACTGAAATTGGTGAATCTCTTTAGCCATTCTTAAATATAATGTAAAGGGCAGCTCTAACTATTCTAATAAAATGTTTATAGGATAGTTCTAACCATTATTTTTTTTTTTTTTTTTTTTTTTTTTTTTTTGTTTTGGGTTTTACGTCACATCCACACAGTATAGGTCATATCGCGACGTTCCAGCTTTACTGGTGGAGGAAGACCTCAGGTGCCCTTCCGTGCATTATTTCAGGCACGAACGGGCACCTGAGTAGAACCACCGACGTTCCGTAAGCTAGCTGGATAGCTTCCTCACATGAAAGAATCCAAAGTCCCTGTCGGGATTCTAACCCACAGCGGTGAGGGGCAAGTGGTTTGAAGTCAACGACCTTAACCACTCGGCCACGGACGCCCCTCTTACCATTATAAAATTAAAAATAATAAGGATAGCTCTATGATAACATGTAACACTTTAATTTGAAAGGGTGGTTCTAAAATAAAATGTACTGGAATGAAAATAGTTTTTTAACTTTCTGGTTAATTTGTAAATGATTACAAAATTTATAAAGTCAATCAGAAAACAAGTAAAAAGGACACCTTAAATATAAGTTGTTCTTCTTCTTTAAAAAATCATCAATATCAAAATGCTATAATCTAATTTCTATGTTCACAAAAATGGATGTATTCTAAATAATTAAAAGAAATAATTATCATGTCATTGTTATGCAAGGATTACTTATATTTCTTTATGTATTGAAAACTGAAGAATTAACATACCTTTGCATGTTAAACAGTTATAACTTCAGTCGATTATCTTTTTAAAAGATACTTCTTGTTACGTATAACTTTACTTTTAAGCTACATGCCCGAAGATGAGCCAACATATTTAAAAAAAACAAACCTGAGAAAAATGTATTAAGATATCAGGAAGAGTAAAAAGATTCAAGATTTATGTAATAATTTATCTGTAATGTATGCTTGATGACTGGCTAACGCATAAAAAAACTTTCACTTAAACTCTCCAACTTTTGCAAGTATATTAATTATATATGTTTTTTTTGTGCTTGCGCTATTGCGATAAGTGAAATCTTGGCTCGTGATTAATTATTTACCCGCTTTGAATTTGATACCATGTATAGTTATATTACACGTACATGTACATGCATATCTATCTATATTAGATTTTTTACGGATTGAAGGATGTTATTGGTTTCTTACAACAAATAAAATTATCATGAAAAAAGATCGTGCCAACAATAAAAAAATAATGTGAAACTACGGACTTTATAATGTACCAGTGATTATTTTAAGCAACAGCGATGAAAGAAAATGTTACTAAAATTGTTTATATTATAAGCTTTAAGGATTTTTGACAGGATATAATTATATTGCCCTTTAAAACGGTTGTTTGTATATGTTACAAGAAACGGTTTATATACGGCCGTTTAACATATCAACAATCTTTATAATGAATTCACGATACTGCAATTTGTCTTTACTATAATCAAGATGATATAAATTCATAGAGTTACTACAGCCGTGTATATTGATTATATAAACGTCAAGAGTATCTTATGAAAAACGACGTTACAAAAGTGTAATATTATACAGTTATTTCATATGTGATTTGGGAACAGTCAAACTGTTGGCCCGAGGTTGAGGGGGTAGTGTTTTGAACTGTTGCCTAAGGCCGTAGGCCGAGGGAAACAGTTCAAAATACTATCCCCGACACCGAGGGACAACTGTTCGACTGTTCCCAAATCACATATGAAATAACTGTTTTATTACCTGATAAATCAAGTAGTGTTTTAACAGGACTTGCAACAAGAAAATAGTATTGCACATATGCTAATAATTAAACTTAATATTTTAACTATGTCACGTTACATATGGTTTATGGATGCTTCAAGTGGGAATCCTCTATGACGTCAGAGCACGCGAGGGAAACAGTCGAAACTATTGACCGGTCAACCGTTCCCAAACGTTGACGTTTTTTGAATTTCAGAAAACAGTTAAAAATACCAAATAACATTTATATAAGGTATCAGGTAATAATATAAATTATCGCTTTTGCGACTCCGTGAAACTGGTACTGCACAATTGTGCATACTGCAGTATATTTTGACGTGACATCATTTGCGTTGTATAAATAGCGTTAAGACGCGCTAAATGTTAGCGTTATACTATAGGCGCGTCAATGATAATACAGATGTAATTATTCTTTTTTTCACTTCAAACTGTGTTTTATTTTTTGGTAGGCCTGCGTGATAAATAGAATATTAAATTCGTGTAAGTTCATTACTGAATTTATTTAACTCGTTGAATAAAAATAATGTTATGCTCGCCAAAGGTTCGCGCACAATATAACTTTATTCAACTCTTTCAATAAATTCAGTATTAAACTTACACTTATTCAATATTCTATATTTATGAAATAAAGGAATAATTAATGATAGTATATGATAAATCTTAACTTACATTGTGACGTTACACCCTTCATTAAACTTGATGTTAATATTACGAAAAACGCCACTTCCATTATTTGAGTTGTCGTCATTTATGAATCATGCTCACTAAAGCCCACACTCGTTACGCTTTAATTTTACACTATTAATCAAACTTTATAATTTTACACAAATGTTTATCTTAACAAAATACCATTAAATATATTCACATCTCTCTTTTAAAGCACCATTTAACACTTAAACTTCATAAATGTTACAATGCAAAAATACTCGGTCCATTTTCGGATTGAATTTTTTCCCTTTCAATATCGCGTTTTCAAATTTCAATTAAAATAAAAATGTTAAGAAAATAATTTGAAAAGCAATTGGTATTCTCTTCTCACGTCAATTTGTGTACCCATTAAACGCTGTGTATAAAAGTAAACAAAAATAAACATGCCTTTTATCTCCAAATCAAAGGTATACCCGTATAGTGCTGTCTTTTGAAATGTTCTATTCACTGGGATAAATAAACAAAATGGACCATATTAAGGTTTATTTTGTGAAAGAAAAACATTATTGACATCCGTTTCTATAAGGTTATGCCACGACATTTCATAAAATATATATACGTACTCTAAAGATACAATCATTTATCTACATACCTCTCACTAACAGACCACTCACGAATTTACTAATACATGTAGTAAGTCCGCTTTGTTCGCGAGAGGTTGGACGCTCTAGAAGCTGGACAGCCTCAAATTGCTTAAAGAAAATGCTTTCGGTTCACTAGAAATCTTATAAAATAATTACAGCCCTAAATATCTTAAAAAGACTTGATCATCTTTTAATCTGGAAAAAAGAAAATAAGTACATGTTCAACATTAATATTGGAGTGTATATTTGTAGGCATGTGTATACACACATATAGTGATTTATTGCCATATGTGACAGTGTTGATGCGACGTAATTTACACTCCCTCCCCCTATAGAAAAAAGAAAAAAAATATGATATTGAAAACAAGCATACTCTATCGATACATTTCTGCATTTCAAACCATCCTCCACACCCAAGGCAAAAATGAAAAGAAGAAGAAAGAAAAAAGATGTGATATTGTAAACAAACAAAACTGTCATACATAACTGCTATTGCTATGCTACAGAGTCTTGCTGGACTGTAACGCAAACTTAAAGTCAGGTCATACTTTGCATTGATTGTTGCTCAGTTTTAGCTCATATTGAATCCACATTAAATAAGATTAATTACAATAAATTATAACATGTTTAATTGGGATTAATTGTTCCGAAGGGTCAGGCAAATATAAGAATTGGGTTAGATTAGAGGCATTTTTAACAGCCGCTCTCTGTGGAAACCATGGGTACATGGACAGTAACAATCGCAACTACTCGGCCCTTTCCGTCAGTCTTCGGATAAGGACCTCGAACACAATAGTATGAATACACAGAACGGATGCGGTATTCCGGTCTAACCTACGCTAAGAAACTAAACATGTAAACAAATAGTAATTTAAGGCAGCACACCACACTAAATGAAGCCGCAGCTTCGAATGGCCAGGGAGGATTTCGTGGATATAGTGACTATTGTGGATTTAAATGACTGGTTGTCTTTAAAATGCATTTTCAGCATGAAATTTGTTTTTGTGACATGTAATATGATCATTGGCAAATTCGAAAACATGGTTAGAAATCACATGCTGATAATTATTGATGTCAAGGTCGCCATTGTTTGTAAACATTGCTTTTAAACAGCATGCTCGGTGAAAAAAAGTAGTTTTACAGGGGGGTACAAACTTTCAGCAATAGCAAAAAATCTACAAGGCCAAGCACCTATTTCTTTGTGATATTTTGCATGCACAGGGAGTTGCTAAAGCAGTGACAGAGTTTTTGTAGACCGTATATTTGCAGGTATTTTTTGCCGGAGGGACGAAAAATGTTGTTTTGGGTCTCGGACCACTATAGATTTTTGGCTTTTACGGAATGAATTGGATTTTTTTTAACTGCCTGACTGTTGCACATGGGATGATTTCATTACAGATTTGCAATGGTATGACATATATGTTCTTAACAAAATGTGTTTTCTTTTTCCAGGTTGTGTAGTTTGGGATCAGATTTATCAGCCATATTGCTTGTAGGACATTGACGGCAGAAACTTGAAATTTAGTGTGGAGTGCTACCTTAAGGTAAAATGAAATTTTTC